GAGAGCATTATGCTGAGTGGAATAAGCCAGTCAATGAAGGAAAAATACCACATTATCTCACTCATTTGTGGATAATTAAGACCATTATAAACTGATGAACAATAGTTTACAGACACAGAGGCAGAGCAACATTGAACAGACTGTCAAACTACAGCGGGAAGTCTGGGGAGGGTTGGGGGGGGCGGGTAAGAGATTAACCGAACGACTTGTATGCAGGCATATAAGCATAACCAATGGACACAAGACACTGGGAGGTAGGGGAGGCCAGGCGAAGGTCAAGGGGAGAAAAAAAAAGGGAAACATATGTAATACTCTTTGTAATACTTTAAGCAATAAAAATAAATGAAGTCAAACACGATACATTCGCCTAGAATCTGTTTTTGTGATTAATCACTATGCTTTAATTATGTTTAACCTGTAACAATGAAAATACATCCTGCATGTCAGATATTTACATTGCTATTCATAACAGTAGCAAAATTACAGTTATGAAGTAGCAACAAAAACAATTTTATGGTTGGGGGTCACCACAACATGAGGAACTGTATTAAACTGCATTATTAAGGTTGAGAATTACTGCTGTAGAGTATATTTGTATGACCTTATTGCTGGGGTAGTCCATTTCAATGCATTTGCAAATGCCTCAACTACCCTTTCCCACACACTGGGAACAGTGCCCTGCCCCCCTCCAAGCTACATTGTGGTTTAGATGTTTACACTCAGTGTCCAGTCAGTAGACAGAAGCCACATCAGTGATTTGAACAGGGTAATTTTTTAATATGTTTTTATTGATTTCAGAGAGAGGAAGGGAGAGGGAAAAGTAAAAACATCAATTATGAAAGAGAATAATCAGTCAGGTGCCTCCTGCACACCCTCTCCTGGAAATCAAGCCCGAAATCCAGGCATGTGTCCTGAATGGGAATCAAACAATGACCTCCTGGTCATGGGACAATCATCAACCACTGGGCCACCCCACTTGGGCTAAACAGGGAAATTTTGTATTTATTATTATTATTACTAGAGGCCTGATGCACAAAGATTCGTGCAAGAATGGGCCTTCCTTCCCCTGGCTGCCGGCACCACCTTTGCCTGGAGCCACCTTTCTGCCTTCCCACACTGCCCAGAGGCCTGGAGCAAGCTTCTCGCCCCGCTCTGCCCCTGGCTGCTCGGCGCCTGTGTATGCAAATTAACCCACCAGCTTTGTTGGGTTAATTTGCATACTCAACCCTGATTGGCTGGCGAGTGTTGTGAAGGTATGGTCAATTTATATCTTCCTATTTTATTAGTGTAGATGACCTCAAATCTTCTAAGGAAAAATGCAGAAGCTCCCTTTCCCTGGCTGCCACACTGCCTTCGCTCTGGCTGTAGCTGCCTTTCTGCCTTCCCACACTGCCCAGAGGCCTGGAGCAAGCGTCCCGCCCGCTCCTGGCCACTCAGCACCTGCATATGCAAATTAACCTGCGATCTTTGCTGGGTTAATTTGCATACTCACTCCTGATTGGCTGGTGGGCATTGCAAAGGTACAGTCAATTTGTATCTTTCTCTTTTATTAGTGTAGATTATTATTATTGCTTTCAGAGAAAAGAGGGAGAGAGAGAGAGAGAGAGAGAGAAACATCAATGGTAAGAGAGAATCATTGATCAGCTGCCTCCTATACACCCCTCACTTGGATCGAGTTCGCAACCCAGGCATGTGCCCTTGACCAGAATAGAACCTGGTACCTTTCAGTCTGCAGGCCAATACTCTATCCACTGAGCTAAACCAGCTAAAGCAGGGAAATCTATAATAATAAAAGCATACTATGCTAATTAGACGAGACAGCCGAACGACCTTCCAGACATTATTCCGGATGTCCTTCCAGATGAAGCCGCCAGGGCAGGGGCCAAGGCAGAGGCAGTTAGGGGTGATCAGGCAGGCAGGTAGAGTGGTTAGGGGCAATGAGGCAGGCAGGCACAGTGGTTAGGGGTGATGAGACAGGCAGACAGAGTGGTTAAGGGTGATCAGGCAGGCAGGCAGGCAAGCAGTTAGGAACCAGTGGTCCCAGATTGCAAAAGGGATGTCCCACTGCCGGTTTAGGCTAAATCTCTTGGGCCTAAACCAGCAGTCAGACATCCCCCGAGGGATAAATAAATAAATAAAAATTATATAAAAAAAAATTACTAACTAGCCAAAGGTAGTTTTAGTGGTTAACTACTGAAACAAGTAAAAGAAAGCTCTAAGGAATACAAAAATAGCAGATACAGGAAACAGACACTAAGTCTAGAGTTAAGACAGAGTATACGGGAAGGAAGAAATTTGGGAGAGGAACCCCGCAAGACACATTCAGAGCTTATTGGTCAAGGTAGGACCATGGCCCCTGGAAGGAGTACACTGACAAGTCACAGGCCACAGCTGGTGGCAGGAAACCTCCCACGGGGGTTCTGCGTAGCCCCCCGGAAGCATCCTCTGGAAAACAGGCTGCTGCAATGCCAGGCAAATTCACCAAAAGGTGCAACACTGGGCCTTCTGCAGGCCAGTGACAGTCCACTGTGGGGGCAAGAAGAAAAGGGCCAGCAGGGAAGAGAGTCCATTTCCCCTGCTGTGCCCGACAGCGCCCCCTGCAGCACAGGGGCTGCCAAAGGCTCACAGCATTGGGCTGCATCGCACAGAAGTTGGGAGGGTCACACAAACAGGGCAAATATGAGGTGGGTTTGGAACCAAGAGGCAATAAGTTGATAATGGACACAGTCCACACCTTTGACTACTCAGCTTCAATGTGAGCCATTTACCAAATTTGAACTTTCATATAAAAATTCAGCTCTACTTTTTCACACATCAAGACAAAGCTCCCGTCACACGTGAAGAGAGTCTCACCCGTCCCCCAAAAGGAGGAGACAGTCTCAGTCCCTGTATCGATCACTGCTATATTCATATTGCAAATTCCTGTTCTGTTACCTACAGGCTATACTACACATAACCCCCAACAACTTACAAAAAGCGAAAGGGTAAGGAGAAGAGCGAGCAGGAAAATGGTTCATGTACACAAGTAACACACACACAAGAGACAACATCTGCAAGGCTGTCGCTTCACCCCTTGTTGGTCATTGGTCGCAGGTGAGAACTGACCGTCTGACTTCTTTCTTCCACTTCCCCTTCGGCTCTTCCACCCGCGTGAGAACCATAGCAAGTGAGAGTTCTCCTGGTAGAGG